TGTTAGATTTGGGGTTCAAATATTTATGAGGGATTAGCCCAACCTATGGATTGTTGAGTTGTTATATTCATTATCCAAATGAACCCTAATGCTTACTCTAGACTTGCTACCTAAAGTATTGATTATGGAGTGACTAATTTAATAGTCATCTTCCTAAAATCATTTGGCTAAACCCATACTCTATTAAGGCACGATGCGACAGCCGGTCTGATAGAAATTCTCGGGTGAACAAAGTTTGATCCGATCTGATACTTAATATCGATCGATACTCCTCTAGAGTTATCGATCGACGACATCTTATATCGATCGACACTGCGATAGCAACATCGATCGATGCAGTCGGCAATCAGATCAATGGACGAGTCTAACTAGCGACAGCTATAGATTTGTCTAAGGATTGAAGTTCTCATATATTTGCAAGCAATTTGTTAAGACATCCATAGATTTATAATCCTGATTTTCTGAATAGTAACCTTGAATCTAACTATTTCTCTTTATTGTTTTCAAAACCCAAAACCTATTTTCATCAGCAACTTACCATTGCTACTTATTTTATTACTGTTTTAAACCTTTTTCAACCTAGCTTAATCACTTAGGATTATATCTTTTGTGACTCTAGTTCCTTGTGGATTCGATCCCTAAGTGCTACGATTGAACCTCTTATTTGAGAGAGTAAAATCACTCCTTAGGTTACATTTCAGTGACATCAGTTTTCAATCGAAGCACATCCTCTCCAGGTGAGCGATCCGCACCATCATGTAATCAACCTGTTCTTGGAGGTTTTTAACTTGTTCATGGCCAAGGAAAAACATAAACGATAATTTGTTGTTAGCTATACATAAACATAACTACAGCAAATATAAAGCAAGGACATATTTCACTAACCTCCAAGAAGATGATCTGATCATTGATAATAGAGACCACATTGATAACCTTCTCAGCCTCCTCCACTCGCTTTGTCAACTTCTCGAGCTCCTCCTTGACACCAAACAGCCACGGTTGTCGATAGTGTAAGCCATCATCCTTGTTGACAACAAAAACAAGAAACAGAGACCGATAGTGGAAGTAAAAATATAAAAAAAACAAGCAAAGATAATTAGGAACAATCAAATACACTGACCTCGTAGTTTAGGCATGTGAAGAACCTCTTCCCATGTACTGTGTCGAAGTCTTCCTTTCCCCCGACCTCGTTGATGATTTGACCACTGCATGAACACCTTCGCGGAATCCCATATTGAGAATCACCCACAAAGCCTAACATGTCGATGTGGTGCTTTTGCTTCTTAGAATCTCTTCTTTCCTATGTGGGATCCATCTGTAAAAGAAAATAAAGACATATATTTAGAACCACAACTCCAAACCTATAACCCTATTTGAAATCACCTATAAACGAACCCTAAATCGAACCCCCATATCGATTTAGAACCCTATATCAAAACCCTCTTCTCGATTTACAACCCTATCTCGAAACCCCCAAATCGATTTCAGATTTCGTAACCCACAATCTGATTTCGATAGCAAATAATGATGAACCCTAACCGTGAATCGACTAGATATTACCCTGACCTTGATGAGAAGACACAGCGTCGTCGATTGAAGCAGAAATCGCCTCTTGGTCGCCGTCGCACTCGAAATCGCCAGAGAGAAGTGAAATCCTAATTTTTTTTCTTTCTCGACAAAAATGAAATGAATCACGCGTAAAGTGTGATTTCCGCCTCAACCGCACATCCAACCCGGGCCTGTCACGTGCCATGAACCCGTCTCACGCGGGTTCAGCCGAGAGAACCGATCCACGAAATTTAACCCATTTTTTATTTAATTTTAAACCAAAAAGCCCATGAACCTCCCTTAATGAACTCTCTATAATCCTTTAATGTGGTTGCTCTAAGATACTCATCGACATGGTATGAGAAGATCACCCACACACACAAAAAAGGAGAGAGAAGAATGGGGTCTCACCTCTTAGTGTCAGTATTACATCTATATACATAGAAAACAAAACTCAGCCTATCAAATAAGAATGTCTTGATAAGAAAAGATAGAGCGAACAAGATTAAGTTGAAGCGTATCAGTGTGGAAAACAATTCACTCTCTTCTTTTATACTAATCAAGTGTTCTTGGGAATTGCATGTACGTAGGATCATGATTCTCTCTCCATATAAATTATCTCTCTATATAAAGGTATAAGTAAAGTAGTTAGGGAATTTTTTTTTTTGAACAATTGTAGTTAGAACATCTTTAATGCAGCGAAACACAAAACTCAAAGGTGCTTTTTTTGTAATAAAAAAAATCAAAATAAACATCCTTAAGTTTTACGTTTTGCATTTCACTACGTTAAAGATACTCTAATTTTTTTGTGTAATAAAAAAATTAAAAAAAAAAACTAATCGATGGATTAACATGTGTTATTGAGGTCTGCGAATAGTGTAAACACCATCGCTTAGATAAACAGTAGAAACGTCAGTTGTTACAATTTTGTGAGATCCACCTACCTACTTTTTTATTAATTTTTCATAAGCACTCTTGGATGCTCTTAGGAAAGTATTGTTTACAACAAAAGTAGCTAGAGAAGAGAAAAAAGGAGAAAATAAAAGAAAATAAACATGGAAATTAGTAATCAAAATATTAGAGGTTGGGAATTTTTTAAGTAAAATAAAAACATCTAGAAGAATTTCATTGGACGTGTCAAAGGATTTTCTTTACTCAAAAACAAGCCTGATGGATTTATAGAAATATAACAAAGATGTCGCCAACGATTTTGGGTAGTTAGGTTAAGAAACACATACAACAAATGAGTGTACACATACATATGCCTTAAGATCCGTATTTTTTCTCAGTTGAGCATATGGGAACAAAGTAATATTATAATAGAAAGCCACGAGCTTCTATATTTTATCTTGTCTCATGCGCAATGGCTAATGGATTATTAACTATGGCTTGCGAGTCAAGCCACGAGCTTTGGTAAAAACTATCTCTAGTTAGTAGATATTCAACACTCGTCCCATCTCTTGTTTTGTCTCTACTTAGTCTACCCATTCATAAAATTCTTGCAGATAATGAGGAAAATGTTGAATGAGTTCTCTTACGATACTACGTTAAAGAGCGGGTAACCTGTCTGATATAGAGACAATCCAACAATCTTTTTTGTAAGATACAAATAGTGATGACATATGTGTACAAGACAAACCGAAAAACAAGTTTCAATTATTTTTTGTCAGTAAACTATCCACCAACTACAACCTTTTTTAAAAAATTGGTACAAAATATCATAAAAACACACTAATTAACCGTTCCCAAGACATTGGTAGGCCTACCTTACTCTATATTTTAAAAATATATACGAGACATTATCTATAAGACCATATACAATGAGGGTGTTGAAAACCCCTTTCAACTGTTGAAACATTTACAATGAGGGTGTTGATAAATTTAGTTTATCTATGTGGCATAAACACCCGTTGCAAAATTTCAACATATTGAAACTTTTTCTTTGTGCCCCACAGCTGCCACATGTCGTTTCTTGATTGACTATACAGATTTCTTTTGTTTTTTTTTTCACCCAATAATTCAAACGTATTTTTTATATAATAAAACCTTTTTAAAAAATATAAAAATTATATCAAAAGTCAAGATTTTTCTTTATCTATTAATAGAGACTACTTTCATTTCATTTGGATACCAAAAACAAAACGTAATTTTTAATATAATAATTTAAAACAAATATTATTAAAATTTAACTTTTAGTGCTGTACACGCACTAGTGTACATTTGTTAGTGTACACTCTGTACTGGATGTACACTTGCACTGGCTGTACACTTGCTAGTGTACACTCTATACTGGCTGTACACACGTTAGTGTACACTTGCTAGTGTACACTCAGTACTGTATACTCAGTGTACACTCGCTATTTATATGTTATTTTAATTTTTAATATAATTATTAATATGTAATTATTATATTTTAATAAAAATAAATAGTGTGAATTAAAAATTGTGGGGTATAGTGTTGAATTTTTTAAAACAAACCATTGTAGAGGTTTAAAATAAAGTGGGTGTTGAATAAATGAGGTGGAAGAAAGAGAAGATGATGTGGAATGTAAAAAGGGGAAAATGAGGGTGTTGAAAAGAGTAAGGGTGTTGAAACCATTGTTGATGGTCTAAGATATTATCTTCATATGCCAAGAACCAAAAAATAATCATTTATAATTTGATTTGAAATGTAAAATGAGCGAGGTGAACATCCAGATTCCACGTGGTCTAAAAAGGCTAAAGCGTAGAGTTAAATATACTTGAATCCGAAAGCAAGGGCCAAATGCATGGACATTACATATATGATTATTCCCGTAAATATGTAATTAGTGTAAGAAATTATATAATATCATCATTTTTAAACTGAGATGTCAATGCGATTTTGGGTAAAAAAAAGAAAGAAAAAAGAAAATTAAGATGGTAAGTAGCTTTTATCGTATGTCAACCCAATTAATCAAGAATTAGACTAAACATCATATCAATTAGGTGTTCCAACCTAACACGGATTAGATTTGGGTGGTTTAAGCTGGTGAAATTTATTTGTGCTAAAGATTGTTGGTTGGAGGGTTCAAAGTGAACCAATACACCTTTGTCCAAATTTATCACTTAACATCATTTTACATGTGAATTTACTAGAAAATGAAATACAAAAGTAACTGTATATAGAGAAAATATTTTGAATTTAGAAAGACTTATTTAGGACATTGAGTTGAGAAGACTAGTGACAATCCTATTCCTATAACTAAAGGGGCTTTCTAAGTAACTTCTTCACCTCACCCAGATTCAAATCAATCATCCACCATCTGGTAAGCAAATAGATTGATGATTAAAAGTTATAATGCAAATCAGTGGTCCTCACAAGCAGACTACTCGGGGGAGGAGACATTTGATGGCCTGATTATTCACACAGTATGTAACAAATCATAACATCATATATCTTTACACCATCAATACTATTATTCAACTATAATTTATAATGACAGTCCTAGACAAGACCATCTGATATAAGGATGGGCATCACCAGGAATTCGAAGCACAAACTCACTCCACTCGACCCTTCCATGGATCTCTACTCCAACCTTATCCAAGGCAATCATCGCACACCAAATCTTCTTTTCGCTGTCTTCCCTCAGCAAGACAAGTTTCCCATTGCATTCCACCATACGGTGCCACCACACATCACAAGGCAAACCTTTAACCCTTCTCCATATCTTCTCTTTCGGGTCATACCACATTAACCCAAGATCATAGTAAATAGCATAGATCAGACTGTTTATCACACACACTTTCCTTATCTTTTCTGTATATTCATACGACATGTCAAAATTCTCACACGTACCATCTTTTGTGTCGTAGATTGTGTGATGACCATGAGAAAAACTGATACCATAAACCATTCCATCTAGGGCCACGGCGTCACGGAATTGAGTTATCTTGAATCCTTCCCCGTATGTCATTTCCCCATGGGGACCTAATGGCCCAACTTCCCAAGTTTGAGTATTTGGGTCAAAAACCTCAACCTGGATGATCTCGTCGTCGATGAAGTTGAAGAAGCCTCCTGTTACGTATATTTTCCCATCCACCACTGCCACGCCTGCTCCCTTTCGTGCCGCCTTCATGCTAGGACCCTTACTCAACTCGCCAGACCGGGAATCAAAGATAACTAAGCCGGATGAACCCTCCGCATCCCAATCCGATCCACCAACGAAATAGATCTTAGAACCTAAGGACACAGTGGGACAAGTGTACATATTTTGAGTTGTTTTAATATCAACTGACTTAGGAGGACTTGTTTTCTTCTCTTTTAAATTGAAAGTGACCCAATGAAACGTCTTCCAGCCACGACGAGTGGAGTCAATATTGAATACACACAAGAGGGGATAATCTTTCATGGCCAGTAAGGACCGTCGCATCTGCGCAAGCTCACTAGAAAGCACAAGAGACTGAAAGTTTTTGCAAACACAAGCAAGGGTCGGGTCGTACCTTGTCGGGACGCGAGCTAAGCAGTTCAAAACAAGATCGTCTGGTAGTGAAGACAAAGAATAATATTTGTTTTTGTAAATTATATGTATTGCTCGTCTCATGGTATCAGTGAATAGCGACCACATCGACGACAATGCTCGATGAATTTCTTCTTGCGTTGGCTCTTTGGCGTTTGAGTCGGCTGCGGTAGACATCACCTATGCAGTACGGTTAGGAGAAGAGATTAAAAGACAAAAAGGGTATAGGGAACCCTAAGACAAGTATTTATAGCTATGATCTGAATTTAAAAAAAAATTAGAGGTAAATAGAAAATTAAATGAGTTGAGCAGATATTATATATGAGATGTCCGAACCTGGTTAAGGCCGCTGCTGAGCGATGGTAGGTTTGAACGCAGAGCATACCAGCAAGCCAGGATGAACGAACCTTTATTAGGCTAGATTATTGTTTTGGCCCATGTAGAATACAAGTAGGGCTTTTAAAATGGCTAACATAATTAGCCACTGAATTTATAGGATTAAAATTATAGCCCATTAATTTTTCTCCACACCATTTTTATACAATTTTGTGTCAAAACTGCAAAATCAAGATTTCTTATCAAAACCGTAAAATAGAATTTTTGTGTTTGGTTCGCAATGTACTAGTGGTGATCAGGCTGTGAATGGGGTGGGAATGGTGTTGAATTGGAGATTAGTGGTGAACCGACGTATTTAACTAAGTGTTTGGTGTAAGTTTAGTGTGAAGGGAGATTGTAGATTATATTGAGTAATGCAAGAATAGTTTTTTTTCTCATTATTTTGTAATATGACTTGTTTTATTTTGTATTTGTATTAATTATTTCTAGAGTTACTTTTTTAGATTTTATGAAAATAAATATCTAATAAAAATCATCAACCGGTATATTATAACATTTTTAAACTTCACCTAGGAGCGATACATAGTAAAAATCACTTAATTGAATTCTCAATAGATTTTATGGTTAGTTTAATAAAAAAATTAGTATATATTCAGATAAACAAACCTATTTCTCTAAGAGTTTTAAAAATTATTTTGGTGAAGGCACGTGGCAACCTCAAATGTTGGAATATTTCTCATAAAATATATAAGAGATTACATTATATAAACGTATTTTGTATATCTTTTTCTATACAATATACAGCTAACGAAAATTACTAATGATATTTTATATTAGTTATATACATAACATACATAGAAGGTTTTTAAAAAAAAATTTTAAACAATTCATCTAAAATACATACTAGTTTTTACAGTAAATAAAAAATTTATAAATCATTGATCGAAAACCTTAAATATGTTTGTTATATAAAATAATTTTTTAATTATAGTTTAAATTATTTTTTATAATTATTTATATTATTATAATACATAAGTAATAAATTACTAACCAAAAATTGTATATTAATTTTTATTTATAAAATATGCAAGATAAAGTTTTTAAGTTTCTCTTTTAGTAAAATATTTATTTTATTAAATGCATAATATAATTTAGGGTGTTTTGCAAAATTGACTCAAAACTTGAAGTCAGACAAAAAAAAGTAACCTCTTATTTTTTTGGAACTTTGACTTGCCATATTCACCCTTAGAAGTTATGATTATTCACGAAAATGCCACTATTTTTTTCAAAAATTGTGTGTTTACTCTATCAACATCATCTTCATCAATTATTCACAAAATGTCATTGCCATCACTTCACCCAACAACCATGAACAACCAATATGTAGCTCTTAATGCATCAAAAAAATCGATTTTGACTCATTCTAGCTCAAATCTTGTCCGCAAAAATTACATATCTCTCAGTTTGTCTCTATATTCATCCAAAAAACTCAATTTTTTATTCTAAAGTTTTTAAGGTTCTATATTCAGGCTCTTCATTCTTGGTCATTAATGATTGAGTAGCTGTCGTGGTGAAGTTTTGAGTACTTGGGGAAGTAGTAAGCAAGTTTTCTCAGTGGTTGAAGGTAATTAAATATAATTAAGCAATGCTGATTTGTCAATTTCTCTATGAATTTAGGTAATTTTGTTTTTTTATCATCTGTTAATAATTTCATATATAATGTATTATATAATACAAATAGAATTTATGTTAATAATATTATATTTTTAGAAAATAAGATAATTCTTATGTATTAGATTGTTATCTTGAAAATATATTTCTTATTATAAAATTTAATTGAATTTGCTGATTTGTAACTTCTCTATGATTTAGGTAATTTTCTAATTTTTCATAATTTAAATAATTTATATATAATTTATTATATAATAAAACGGATTTCTATTAATAATACTAACTTTTTAGAGAATAAGATAATTCTTATGTATTATATTGTTATTTTGAAAATATTTTCTTCTATTATAGAAAGAAAAATTAAGATATAATAATTATAATTAATATAAATCAAGAAAAAACATTTGTATAAATATATTTTTAAAACTACTCTGCTATGTAAAGGTTGTAATTTATAATTAATTTTAAAAACATAAATCATAATTTATTATGTTGTTTTAAATCAATACAACATAAACTAATAAGCATTCGTAAAAATATTATGTTCGCATATGTGGGCAGAACACTTAGTTATAAAGTATTTCACAACTTTGAGGAATTAGTTATGTAAACTTTTTTTTTTTAATAGAAAAAGAAGAAGATATCAAAATAATATTCTGACACTGATTTTTCTTTTTTTTTTTTTTAACTGGCTTTCATATTAAAATTAATAAAAACAGAGTTTACAGAGGGAGAACAAAACAACCGAATAAAGAGAGAACAAGAGCAAGGGAATTAAAAGAGAAATAAGGAAGAGGGTCACAATGATGCTAATGATCATGGAAGATGAAAGAAGAAGCGCAGCAGAAGAGATGCTGCACTTTTACACCGCAGACCAGAATGCCACCAAACTCAAGCCAAGTTCTGATCCACAGTTTCGCAAAGCTGTAGATTTATCCTTTGCTTGTTTAATGACATCTCGAGATAACATCCAATGAGCTTTTGTAAGACCGTCATGGTAACGAGCATTACGTTCCATTGTAGGATAGAATCCCATTAATGACACTGATTTTTCAAACTTTTGAAATGTTCCCTAATTAAGTATTAACATATTTTGTATTATATTTCAAAGTTCAACTTCAGAACTCTCCAGTAATGGTATTTCAAATGATTTTTTTTTGTCAGCATGTAAATGCAGCCGCATAAATTACGTTTGAAACAATCGTGTGGAATTAAATAGGTTAAAGAGAAACTAGAAATTGCACACAAAACTGTGACATTTCCTTCTTCTTTTTTCGACATCAACATTTCTTATTTTTTCAGTTCGGCGGCGTTATAATATCATATTTGTAAAAACGTTTTAAGGTAAAACAACTAAATACACATGACTCCTGGACATTCCATAAACAATAAAAAATAGTACACCCACATGAGTTGTGATTTGTGAAACAAAGATAAAAGCTTATTCCAGACAGGGCCGGCTTAGGTGGGAGGGCAAGCAGTGCACTGGCCCAGGGCCCAACCTGAGATCAAATAATTTTAACAGTATAAAAGGGTCCAGATTTTTTTTTTTTGATAACAAGGGGCCTAATTTTTTTTTTTTTATTTTAAATGTTATATTTACACAATATTAACAAACATAACAGTATAATTTTTTTATATTTATAAAATACAAAAGAATAAAATAAATTTAGACAAGTTTTTATATATGTTAAAATAATATTTTGATAACAAAATTAAAATTAATTAGTAATAGGGGCCTAAAATTTTTTTTTGCCCAAGGACCCTCTATTTTGTTAAGCCGGCCCTGATTCCAGAATAGTTGTAAGACATCGACATGGTATGAGAAGATCACCCACACACCAAAAGAAAAGGACAGAGAAGAATGGGGTCTCACCTCTCAGTCTCAGTATTACATCTATCTACATAGAAAACAAAACTCAGCCGCGGAAAACACAGAAAACAAAACTCAGCCTATCAAATAAGAACGTCTTCGTCTTGGGTCAGTAACATTGATCCTCCAATGGAAGTCAGTGGAACCTCTACGCCTCGCTCTCCTCCTCTCCCAGTTGAGTTCTGTCCTCCTCTTCTACGTCAGCCTACAAAACCTTTGTAAATCTTTGTCCATGGCATCGTGCACTTTCCACCATCTAGCGTGAGCCGCGTCGCTAGCGTACACATGCTGCTCCACGTCAAAGTTACAGTCGTAGTCTCTATAGCAAAGCCATGGTTTCCAGCCCAAGTAGTGGACTGCATAGAGCTGAGGCGGCTCAGCGGCTAAGAGGCTGTTCTTGATGTTTCTTTCGTTGGTTGTGTTTGACCAGAAGTTCTTTAGAAAGTTTACTCGGCGAGGCAATCGGTGCCACCACACAAATATCTCGTTTAGATACCTGAAAATACATATGTACATTATATTACATCATTGTTATAACTAGATGCATAGTCCCCGCGCAAGCGCGGGGGTTGGATACATTGTTGATGTTGTGTAGTTTTTTGTATGAGACTTTGTTGTTTTCTTTTAACATTTGTTTATCTGGCTTATCTATAATGGTAATGAATGAAACATTAGAAGTCACACAACTTGATTAGTCTGATAAAAGAATAAACATCAAATTCATATGGGTTGATATTTTCATATTTTATCTTCGTAGTGATTTTATCGAGCATTCCTTTTATTAGTGATTTTATCGAGCATTACTGTTATTAGTGCTTTCATGTAAAAAAATAATTTAATGGAGACAAGACAAAAAAAGACATGTGTTTATTAGTGTAATTTTCCTTCTGAAATTATGTTGTATATATATATATATATGTAATTGTTTTTTCTTAATTGTGATGTATATGAGATTTATGGCCGATCTGAATGGTTCGGGGTAAATATTTATTATTGAAAAAATATGCTTTTATTTTATTTGATTATTATAACTGAACTGAAATGATATTGGAGGTTAGAACATGATAACATTTCTTATAAAAGTATCTAAGATGGTCTCATAAAGTTTCAAATCCTTAAGCCATTTTGTATCCCAACAACCAGCATAAAAAATCATTCTGAATCTCCCTAAGCTTTTAGGTATCCCGAAAAGCCCAAATTAAAAAAAAAATTACATGCAAACACTGCGTTTCGAACCCACGCACTCGCAGTACCAACTTCTAGTCACCAACTTACACCACTGGGCCATTTCATCACTCATCGATAACATTCACTCTTACAAAATTTTATACATTTTTATTTTCCCTAATAACACATGTGGGAAGCCAAATGCAATTTAGCAATAAAAAATGGCTCTTAGATTTTGGAAGCCAAATGCAATTTAGCAATAAAAAAAAAGTTTAATAAAAAAATTTATTTATAATTTAGAGGTATATATATCTATGTATAAGTAACTCTTAATTTTTTTGGGGTTTAATGTCAACACTTTGTTAATGCTCGGTTATGCACTATATTAATGAGCTATATACTAAATGGTTATGACATAAAAACATAAAACTACACATGTGTTGTTGAAATGCTAAAAGTACTTACCCTTGATCTCCACCGTTGTATGAAACAATGTCTTTGTGCTGACTCATGATCGTACCAAACGTACAATTAGACGGCTCAATGACCATTACGCCGGAGTTAAATATCCAGACATCATTTCCGGTGGCCGACATCTGAGGGAAGTGAAAGAGAATGTCAAGGTTAAGTAGGATGATGATGTCAGCATCAATGAAGACAACTTTTTCGTAATCAGTCAACTGCCACAGTCGAAACTTGCTGTAGTTATACTCATTGTATGAGCCTTTATCGGGCAAGTGGGTTTCTGATTCGTAGGATTCGACGGAGTTTCCATCCCGCGGCTGCGAGAGATCGGAGTTTGGCAATGGAGATTGTAAGTGCATATTTGCGGCTAAAGCTATGTGTTCAAGTGCATATAGAATATGTATGAGCATAAAGTAAAGAACACATAGAGATTTGTTAACGAGGTTCGTTTCCTACATCCCCGGGATCACGTCCAGAAACCATTCACTAGAAAAGGCCGCAAGCTACAATTGCTATATGGTATCTAGCACACACTTGTGCCTACCACTCTTATCTAGATTACAATGGTTAGAGCAACTACTACTCATTGATTTTATGAAGAGCATAGTTCTCTATAACTAAACCACCAACATATCTCACCATCTGTCTGGTGGGACGACGCCACACACCTGTGTGCCTCTTTCAAGAATACCCTGGACGCGTGCCTTTTTCTTTGACGGCCTCCTGGTATTTATATGATTGCTAAACCTTACACCTTAGGGTTTCTAAGCAATCTTTCCTTTTTCTTCTCTTAAGAATAGGAAAATTCTCCCTCATCTTAAATATACCATTTAAGATGTTTTCTTAATTCAGTAGCCACGTCCTGGCTTGTATAAATCAACCCATGTTGTCCACTTATATATTTCTGCATTCGCCTAACAGCTTAACTTCTTGAATTACTTCTTGAATAACTTCTTGGACCACTTCATGTACTACTTTGGGATAAAGCACATGAAACACTACAGACGTATGCTACATCTTCAAGACATGTTTCAGTACTTTCTCAAACCAGTTAGCATTACATCTTCAGAGATGGAGTCGTCGTGGAGAAGGATAAGTTCGCGTTTTGTGTTTTGTCTTAAGGAGGCTTTGAGCCAAAGTTATGGCGCCACAGACGTAAGATTCGGAAGAGTGGAGGACGGTTGCGTAGGCTTCACGTTTTGGTCGTCTTGACTCTGCTTTTATCTTCGTTAGGTCATACACTTTGTCTATACCTGTTTTCTTTTTTTTTAATTTGTAATCCAAGAAAATTATATCATAATGCTCACTCGATGATCATTTGATTTCTTAAACCAAAAGTAACTGTAGCTAAATAAATCGATATCTACCAACGAATATGAATACCTAATTTGAAAAGGAAATTCATAATGTGTCTTAGTTTTCTTAATTGTTACAAAGCTACACAATTGCAAAGTACCAAAATTAAGTATGAGTTTAAAATTTATCACCACTGTTTTTAGCAACTTTTAATGTAACATTTCTAAATCTTAGTTTAATCATTTGGCCATATGTGTAAATGTAAGAGTGATTTTAATATCTCCTCTGAAAATGAAAGGTAGCTTAAAAGACAATCAATATATGGTGGTTAGCAAAAAGACACCTAAATCACAACCACTAAGGCACTAACATACCTAACTAGCACACAAAAATCAACTAAGCAACGTATCCAAACATATCTTGTTTATTTGGTTACTAGCCTTTTGTGAATGTATCTTGTTTATTTGGTTCTTTAAAACGAATTCTTTGCATCTCTATTCCTCTCTCCATCTATAGCTCCAAAGATTGATCGAAATAGCAATAGTAGAGATACTTATTAGTCCGAGTTAGGTTTAGAATTTAGTGGGTTTAGCCTATTATCAAAACAGACGAACCTCACCTTACCATGGGAGTGCAATCACGAAAGGAGCATCCAACAAAGGAAGCTATGTTGCTGAAGTAGACTGATGAAGAAGGGTAAAGAGAAAAGGCAGTATAGATAAGAAAAGAGAGAGCGAACAAGAATAAGTTGAAGCATATCAGTGTGGATCTTGATGGGGCTATCTTCAGTATCATCATCATCATCGTCCTCCCGTGTACGTAGGATCACGATTCTCTCTATATATAAAGGTCCACGTAAAGTAATTAGGGAAGTATTGTTTACAACAAAAGTGGCTAGAGAAGAGAAAAAAATATAGATAAACATGGAAATTAGTAATCAAAGTATTAGAGATTGGGGATTTTTAAGTAAAATAAAAACATCTAGGAGAAAGTCACGAGCATATGGTACCAAAGTTACAATATAAGTAGGGAAAATTGCCAAATATGACTCAAAACTTGATTTGAAATGCAAAAGTAAACCCAAACTTGAATCAAATGCAAAAGTAACTTAAAAGGCTGTTGAAATTACAACCAACCCCTTGTGAACAAACAAAAAAAGAGTTTTTTTTTGACGTTTTTAGCCCTCGCAAGTCGTCTGGGACAGTTTTTCTTAAAAATAATTTAA